GGACCTCAGTGCTTCCCCGACTATTCTCCTTAGCTCATTGAAGTTCGCCCTCCTGAAATCTAGGGCTGCTGCCTCGCTGCAGGCCTTTGCCACCTTGCGCTGGATGGTGAATTCCAGCAGGCGATGATCACTGTCGCCCAGGTGGTCGAGCACCCACAGCCCCCTCACCAGGTCATCTCCCGTGGCCAGCACCAGGTCCAACAAGGCATCTTCCCTGGTGGGGCTGTGCACCTCCTGGGTTAGATGGAGGTCCTGCATTCTGGCTAAGAACTTATATCTTCTGGAACCGCAGCAAGATGCTTCAGCTGCTCTGCTACCATTTCTCTGCTGCATACTAAACCTTACTGGTATTCAAACCCAAATTGCCCCAGGGAAACCACTGTAATGATTTCCTACTTCCAATGCAGTCTGCAGTTCACTAGAGTATGGCCTATGACATGCTTTGTAAAATTCATCTCATTTCAAAAGGCTGCTTTCTCTACTTCCTGGAGAACTGAGGAGTCTCTAGAATGGGTGGGCAAAATACAGCCTGTGGGCCAGATGTGGCCCGCCAAGGGATTCTGTCCAGCTCATGATGGGTTCCTTGGTGCTGCCCAGCCCAGGCCATGGCACATGTGGCCAGTCCCAGCATGCCCTACCCACAAGGGTCCTGGCTGGTCTCCATGGGGACCCCAGGGTCCTAGGGCAGTGGCAGCATAGGGCCAGGGCAGAACAACTATACACTCCCTGCATGCACGCCCTTGCCCGCAGAACCCATGCCTGTTGTAGGGCCATATGGGGAGTAGACTGTGACTCTGCCTGGCTCTGCTGTGTCACTGCACCAAGATCCCAGCCTCAGCCACCCTGAGATTCCACTCCAGACCACATAGGGAGTTGTGAGCTGCTGCATTTTAAGGGGGGGGGGGGGGAAGGGGAAGGGGAAGGGTGCTGATCTGGCCTATGACAGCTCACCAAAAACTCCCTACATGGCCCTTGGGCCCTAATAACTGCCCACCCTGCTCTTGAAGGACTAGATACTGTTCTATTTCTTGGAAATTGTTGGGTATAAATTTTAGGCACACCACAAACATCTACAAATTTAGTGGGATGACACCGTCTCTGTTCTTCATCTTCTTGCCCTTGCTCTCTAATGCAGGATGCTGCACACTCCCCTCCCCAGGCTCCACAGTGTAAGGATCAGTCTGGTACTGAACTCTTTGAAAACAAGACAAAGAAAACATGCAACTTACCATCTTTGGCTGAGGAAGACATTCAGTTATCTGGGTCTGCAAGAGAAAAATGGCAGAATATGAGACTTCCTTCCAAGGAAAGCTCAAACACCATAAATAACCGTCCTGCAAATCACAGAACACACGTAATGCAGTGCTGGATGAACTCTTCCAGCAGCCAGACAGATGCTCAGCATAACCAGTGCTAGCTGATGCAGTGGACCAGGCCACTGCCACCTGTATCTGTCTAAAACTTGATCTTAGTTTCATTTGTTGCAATTAATTACTTTCTCTCCTCTCAACAAGCCAAGCTCAGCTGAATTCCATCCTGCCCTGTATCTCCAAACTACAACCACAAAAACCAAGTCCAGAAGCTCTTTTAATAAAAGCACCACACTGAACCAGTTATAAGAGTCAATCCCATATTTTCAGGTTCAATTTTAGGAACCATATTCCAGGGAAAAAGCTGTTGATAACTTCTGATCAAGACCTTAGATCAGGGCCCTTGCAAAATCCCAAAGGATAATTAAAAAAAAAAAAAAAAAAACCAACCAACCAAACAAACAAACAAGGAAATGAGCCAAAGGATTAAACTCCACTACAAATTTCAAAACAAAACCCACATCAAATGAAAAAACATCATATGCACACAAATACTGCAACTGTAAGTCAGGACAACAAGAAGCCCAATTATAGGTCAAACCCATGTATAAATCAAAGGTTTCTTTACTTTGAAAAAAACAAACAAGATGGAGTTATAACATGAATAATACAAGGCTCTTTTCCTCGCATCCCCTTCAAGGACCAAGTCATGCACCAGGTTCACATGCACTATTTTGTTTCTGGTAATCGCTATTTAACAGTAAATAACTGATAAACAGAACATTAAGATACTCAGATAACATCAACTGGAATCTAGTACAGCACTGACAGGGGCTGCAGACTCTTCTGAACAGGTCTTTTAACTGACTAGATTTACAGCACCTTCAAAATACCCAGAATCTAATCTTTCTTTTCTGCAACTAGCAGCATCATGCAAACGTATTAGTTTACACATTTCCATTAATACCCAGTTTGTGTCACTGGAACCCAAGAGAAGTCCAAATGTCTACAGAAACAAGAATTCAGTAATCATCTCATCTTCCACTCTTTCCAAAGAAAAAAAGGAAAACAAAGCCAACAACAAGTAATCAGCCAAGCAGCGTCCTGGAGACAAGAGTAGCAGCAACAAGGACTGTCAACGTTTAGCCCCCTATTCTTAAAGAACCCAGCAAACAAGATGGGGATAGCAAGACACTCACCCCACTTGACATCCTTGGGATGCTGCATGGAGATATGGTTCACGCTGCAGGAGTAGATGTCATTCGAATTGGGGGTGAAGGGAGCAGAGACAAGACGCTGGAAAGTCCAGTCATCTTTGAAGGACAGGTCACCCTTTATCATCCCCTCCATGGGCTTCCCGTTCTTCAGAAGCTGGATGTCAATCTTCGGGGGATGGAAGCCATCCACAAAGCAGTTCAGGAAGTTTGGCTCACTGCTGCCCAGGGGGTAGCGGGTGTAGACCTGCACCTTGGGGGATCCTGTGGAGAAACAGGAGTCAGGAGCTCTCCTGGCTACTTGTGGGGGACCCACCACAGGCAGGCGCAGCATGCACAGGACCCTTCTTTCCAAGGGGGCAGGGGGGGCAGCAGAAATGTACACAGGATATCACAGACAAAAAAAAAGGGGGGGTGGGATGGGACAAATTCTTGGTGGACAAGGGACACCTGCAGCTACTAACAGGGGTGAGCAAGGTGCTCGGGCTCTGCCTCAGACCTTCCTAGAGCTCAAATGCTGGAGACTGCCCGGGGAGACGAACACGGGAAAACCCCTGGCAGCGCCCAGCTTGCCCTGCCTCAGCCCCGGGCAGCGCAGACCTTGAGTCCGGGCCAGGGGGCGGCAGCTCTGCTTGGACTTGTGGCACCGAGGTGCAGCCCCGCTTCCCGCACAGCAATGCGTCACTGCCACAAGCCAGAAGCGAAACCGACCACGTGACTTACGGGAAACCCCTGGCGCCACGCCCGAGCGCTGCTCCGGGAGCAAGGGGCCCACTGCCCGCCCCGCCAGCCCCGTGGCCGAAGCGCGGGGAAGCGCTGACTTACCTGGAAGGGGAAGCACCGTGACCACGTAAGAGGGCTCCCCAGGCCAGGTGATTGTCTCGAATATGTCCTCCATAGGAGGTCTATATTGAGCAGATTTTTTTTGGTATTGGGTGGTGGAACTGGAGCTTGCTCCATCCACTCCATGCATTGACCTGGTATTCCCGTGCTTCCAGGACCCGTGCAAAAAAAAAGCCCCCGGCCCCCTGGAGCCATTACTCCCCCGCCCCCTACCCGTTGCTCCCGGGGCCGCTACCCCCGCCTCCCCAGCAACAAGCCCCACGCAGGAGGCCGCCCCTCTCTCACTTGTGGTGGCTTCCACACAGGCAAGGCCGACCAGCGCGACCAGCAAGATCAGCACCGTCTTGAAACTCTCCGCACGCGCCATTCTATACGACCGCACCAGTCCAGCTCCTGACAGTCAGTAGCTGCCAGCCGCCTCCCCACCCCTTTTATATCCGCCCCGTGCTGCCAATTGCCGTGCTGCCAATCGCCGTGCGGCCGCGCCCCACGCGTCGTTAGTCCCCGGGCAGAAGAGGCGCGGACAGGTTAGTGGAGCCCGAGCGGGGCTTCCCGGCGCCTGCGCACTCACGCCCCACGCCGGGGCCTCCTTTCGCTTTCGCTTTCCTGGAACACCACCCCCTCGCCCCTGACGCTTCATGGCTGACATTGAAACCTGTTAAAATTCCCTTTGAAAGCCAGTGTCGGAGCAGCTGGCTCCTCGTCCTCGGAGCCATGAGGAAGCGGGCTTTACCTTCGCGAGGTGGACCCATTTTTCCCAACTACGTAGCTGGTCCAACGAGAGATGCTCCGGCACTTTTAGGCCCCATGTCTGAGGGGGCTGCGAGTGGTGAGGGGCCTAAAGCACAAACACCTGTTGTTCTCCAGTGAAGCATGAACTATAAGCCTTACTAGTCAACTAGGGCTGGGTTATTCCATTTAAGATGGAAGCAAAAAACAAATATAAAGGTCGTATTGGAACAAGTTAAAAACAGTCCCCAGGGCGGTGAAGTAGCAGCTTCCTTACCAGGAGCAGGGAAGAGGCAGCAGAAGCACAGAACAAAGGTTGGCTGGACTGGGGGAGCATCAAGACCACTGAAGAGGACAAAGGGTTGTTAACACTTGAGAAATGAAGAGTTTAGAAGGAATCAGGGGAAGGTGACTATGTGCCAGGAAGTCAATGGACTCCTCAGCACTGCCTGGCTAGAAACACTGCTGGCACTGCCAGGCAGATGGCTTTAAAAGTTTGGAGGAGGAAGGCAGGAATCAAGAAGCTGTGCAAGCGCACCAGCACACCCTCCCAGACCTGCCCCCTAAATCATGCAGAACAGGCCAAAAACAGAGCCTGTTCTCAATGGCATGCATGTGATCCCCGCAGCAAGAGGAGGCAGGCACAGAACCTGGGTCTTCTTTCTTACACTCACTGAGAGCCAATGATTGCTTTTAACCTGACATATATAGTTTGGTCTTCCAAAAATCAGGCCGAGATAAGGCCTTTCAGGAAATGACAGTTGCTTCTCATTTGCCCTGCTTGTGAACACCTGTGAGGGGCTCAAAGAAAGGTTCCTGCCTGAACAACAGAAATCAACTTAGTTCATAACAGAAAATCCCCTTTCAAGGTTGCAGCCTGCTTGCAACACAGTTGCTACCCAGGAAGTTACAGTCAGAGCCCCACCCCTCCTTATCGAGGCAGAAATCAAAATTACTGCAACTGAAAGTTTAAGTCTTGTTCCCACAGCCTCAGAAACCAAATAGCCCTTTTCACTGTATCAACCTTTAGCTTTGTGGAAGAGACCACTTCATGATAACCTTTTTATGAGGTCCCATGACAAATTGCTCCAGTTTCTGGCATCATGTAAACTTAGAAGGAACTGCAAAAAAAGCAAGTGTCTTGTCCTCAGGATTGAAAACATTGTCCAAGTGCATGTTAAAGGCACAGAGAGCAAAATAAAAACTCCTTAAATGCATTAAACTTATTATTTTGTTGTTTAGAGGTGTTCCACTTGTGATTTAAGCACTTTGAACTGGCAATACACTAACAAGTGTCACCTGCTCCCCGAATTGGGTCCTGGTATATAATTTTCTTTTCATCCCCAAAAAGGGCAGAGCAGTACATGTTATTAACCTATAAAAGGCCCCTTACTTACCTATATCAATTTGTAATTGATAACTAGTTACACTACCATAAGAAGTCATTTTTGTTCCCTCAGTAACAACTCAATGCACCAGCTTGATGCAAGGGGAATTCTACCTTTGGAAGTGCCATTTCCAGACAAGACCCAAATCCTGTTTATTTATGCTTTTAAATATCCACCAACACTTATTTTGTACATCAGGGCATTAGGTCAGGCATCCCGTTTGAATTAAAAATATTTACATTGTGTGCCACACAAGTGCGTTTGGAGTGCAAGAAATTTACACCCCCCCTAGCTATAAAAGAAGAAAGCTATTCATTAGCTAGAGTAGTGTAGCATGCACAGGCCAGCTGTACAACAGTTAGGGCTAGGGCTGCAGCTACTTAATCTGTCAAGCTTAAAAGACAACTCAGGGAGAAAGAAAAAACAAAGTCCTAGACAGGAGTAAACTCAGTTAGAACTGGGCAGTAACAAGGAATCAAGATGCACCAGTCCCTCACATTCTGCTGCCACTACACTGCATGAATTAGGACAAGAAGTAGTAAAGAGCAACCCTACTTTGTTGTGCTTAATGTGAATTGTTAAGTAGCTGCCATGTTCTAACCTAGAGGTTTGTGGTGAGGGAGATGCTAGGAAAATACTCCAGGCCCATCAGCGTTCTTCAGAACCTCTCATGGATCTGATGGTCAGCTGGAACAAGCTCTAATGCCATCTAAGATTTAAGTGAACATGTTCCACCTTTTCCACTTCAAAACAGTTAGTCATCACTCAGTATCTTGCTCCCAGGATTCTGACTTTGCAAGGCTATTTGCATGATTGATTTCTGCAAAACAAAATATATGCCCAAGACTTTGCCAGCAGAAAGGACTTTGTCCCACCTCCTGTTCATCTGGGAATTTCCAGTGATGTCAACAATAAGGATTGGCAGGAGTTTCTGTAAAAGAAACCTGAACTCTAGCTTCTTCCCTGCATGACTTTCTAGAAGACCAAAGTAATCCACTTAGCTTAAAGCAAAGTAGTATCTTGCAGCTCTCTCCCAACTTCAGAACATCTCTGCTCTCTCAGCTATTACAGTCTACATACAGAAAGCAAAAGGTTAGTAAGAGATCATAAGTGTTTTGTGACTACAGCACGATCTGTTCTACACAAGAGCTCAGTTGTGACCATGGAAGGCAGCTGAAGGCAAGATAAGGAAGTGCTTACATTTCCCTACAGTCATGTTAAAAGTTAATTACTCAAGAACCAACCCTGTGCCAGCCAGCAGTTCAGTAGAAGCAGACCCACAACTGAGAACTTTTATTTTTTATTCTAATAGATTATAAAGTCCATACAAATAAATTCATTGGGACCATTTCCAGTTCTGCAGTTCATACACTGAATGTTTGAAAAATGCTCACCCATTAGCCAGGATAAGTAGGAAAGCCAATCTGTTCAGGGCTGAAAACAGAAAGTTGAGATTAAAACTAACTGGATTTTTTACTCCACTGTTCATGGTAGCTGTCACAATGTAGCGAAAATAGATACTTTTCTCTATGTTTCTTTGTTCCTTGTTTTAGTATTAACCCCTGCATTCTGTAACTTTCCACCCACATGGTACAGGATGGCCCACTACGCATGTCTTACATGTTGCCCAGGTTTTGTTTTGTAATGACCAATCAAAATGTAACATGCCAGCTAAAAATTACTAGCTCAATAAAAGCAGCGTGCGCGCTTTGTTTAGGGTTGACACTGATCTGAGCAACAACCTCCTCTGTTGGCCTGCTTGCAAGCAATAAAATAGAGTTGGACCCAGCCTGAAAGTGTGACTCTCTTCTAGAGGTGAATTGGACTAGCCTCCAGGGGATAAAATCAGCAATTTATGCAACAACAGCAACAGAAACAAGGGCTCGGGGCCTAATTTTTCCTGAAATGCACGTGAGAAACAGGTGCCATCACTTCCATTCTGACTAGTCTTTGCACAGGTGTAAACTACTATTCAAGACAGAAGGAAACCAAGCCCTCAGACTGCTGATGCTATGGTGTAGTCATGAATTTCCTCCCCCCCCTTCACTCCTCCATTCCAGCAGCAGGGTGGGGGCTGCATCTCTGCTGCAGGTAAGCAGCAGCTCTGAAATCTGCAAAAATCTAGCACATTTCACAGGTGCTGTTAACAATCTGAAAGGCAGCACCTGCCACACTGACAAGTTTTATTGTGCTGCTGAGGAATATCCTGAGCTCAGAAATACATGTAGAAGTATAAGGGTCACCGGAAAGGTAAAATTTGTTTTTTTGTTCTGTCTTGTCTCCAGGAGCCCGGAGGAGGAGGAGGAGGAACATCAATCCCTGTTTTCAGCAGCCAGAATTGCAAACCTCTCTACTTGTGGAACACCTATAACCCAAAATTTATGTAATTAAGTGAGAGAGAAAGGATTCTTAATTGGATCCAAGGAAAATCTGTTGGGGAAAAGCATTCAATGCTTCCTTCCTTCAGGAGCTGTAGAGCAGAGGTACTGCACAAGCCCATCCCTCCACTATATCCATTATAGCCTATATTGAGAAAAAGAATTGCCTGCTATGTTGCTAAACCAAAAATTCTTGCCACTTCTAGCATCAAATCCTACTAAGGGAAAGACACAATTTAAAGCAAGGAGTATCCAGCCCTGAGGGGTATCCTGTGTCTAAATGGAAGGGTGCAAAGAAGACGAAGGACAAACATCAAATACCTTTCACTAGAATTACTTGATATACCCCTTTTTGTGGGCAAGTCACAGGTATAGTATAACAAGCCCTTTGTTTGAGCCTTTGCCTAGAAGTTTGGCACACTAGCCTCAATACAATATGCAGCCCCAAAGGCCCAGCCATCTCAAATATTTACATCCAATTTGGTACCAATCTATCAGAGATTAATAGACTAACCAGACCAGTGGACTGGTACTGTGTATGGCAGGTCCTGTGCTCTGGCCCTCAGTCAAGCCTTGTCATTGAACTAGGCATTAGCAAAAGCCAAGATGCTTTATACAAACATCCTGGTTTTGTAATTCTCTTGGTCATGAAGCACCCTTATCCTGCTGAGCCCAGAGAGCACAGTTTACAATGGGGAAGGCCAGGGCCTACAGGGATGTAGCTGGGCCATAAATTCATCATTATCGCATGGAGGAAGCTGGAGAGGCAAAGGAAAAGTAAAACCAGCAAGTTAAGCCAGAGACCAGGCCAGCAGTACTGACAAAGAGTGATCAGTCAGTCACTCCTACCCCCATGCACAGCTACCAACACATCCTGGCCATCTGAGGAGACCTCTTCCCAACCCAGTCCCCACTCCAGCTACCTGCACTCCTGAAGTTAGGAGGAGAGGGAACTAGCACATGCCTTGTGGGAGGAGTAAGGAAATCATTCCATGTTCTGATTTACTAATTCTGGGCATTTTACTGCGTACACTTAAAGCAACAGCTTTAGAGTTCCAGGAAGAGGATCCGTGAAGGCAGATCAACACATACCACAATCATGGGGGGGGGGTGAATTCCTACCCCCTTCAGGGATGTATTCTACACATGTAAATCTGCTGCATTCCTCAAACAACAAGGGCTTCAGGAACAAGCCCAGAATATTCTTCATAATCCAGGCATCTCACAGGCCCCAATCTAGCAGCAGGCTCTGCGCAGAGTTGGGATCCACCCCCAAAGGGACTCTACCCAAGCACAGCTCACTGTACAACCAAAAGAAAAACATTCAGCCTATTTTACTAATGCAGTTGCCAACAATACTGTATTAGATGAAAATGGAAGCAGATTGTGGGCATGGGTTTGTTCCCATGGATCTATAGTCTTCATCATCTCTCTGTGGCCTGGGAAGCCTGATGGGACCAAACAGTTTGATTTATTCATTCATTCACTCTGTCCAGAACAAGTGCCTCAAATCCCATCTAGGAATCAAAACTTACTCACCAGAAACCAAATCTAAGCCCAACAACAACTTAGCCTGCTCATAAATACTCCCTTTACCATCAAGAGTTCTTTTCTGCATCCAATACTTCAGGGGGAAGATAACTCACCCACTCAGTGTACTCTCCATTATACCTGTAGGTCAGTACCCTCACAGAGTCCAGGACAAACCAAGGCACCAATTGCAGTCATATCCCATCTCAAACAGCAGCCCAAAGCAAAAGATGAGATCCTGAACACTTCCTGTCAGCTTTAGTGATAGCTACTTGGATGCTAGCTGCATTTACCAGATACGAAGCCCTGGAATGATTCTCACTGACAGCATCCTACTTTCCAGAGAAGCATCCTGTATTTTTCAAGCATGATACTTTAAACACTTCTCAGAAAATCTGAGAACCATCAAGCATTAGCACCCTTTAAACAATACACATGCTGAAGAAAGCCACACTACTGAAAAAGGTGCACCTTTGTCTACTTGACTAGTCAGCACATGAATTGACATATTTGCAGTGTCTCAACTACCTAACTGAAACACTGCAGGTGCAAAGTTAATAACTGTTGCTACATACTCATCACTACTTAAATATGTGCTCAGCTGTGGGCTTCTGCCTTAACACTGCCCTCTGCGGACCCAGAGCTGAAGCAACAAACACAACACAGATTCAAGCCAGGCCTATTTGTTACCTTAAAGAATCATGGCAGATTCCAGTCAGGCTACTGGAAGCTGCAGGGCTCATCTCTCATACCAATGGGCACATACCATAATCAGCCAGTCTCCTCTGGTTCCCTTCATTGCAGGGATTTTAAAGGACTGCTCAGGCCATTGAGAAGTGCACTCAGTACAGCTTGGCCTTAGGGATGGCAGCGGGAGACCCCATTATGTTCACAGAGACATCCTCTCCCCACTCCCACACAGAAATCACAGAAAAGCAAAGCTAGTAGGAACCTCCATAGGTCACCTAGTCCAGTTGTTTTCAACCTTTTTTTTGTACCAGGACCCATTTGTAAATATTGATATCCAGGCCCCAGCCTCCTAGTGTGTGGGGCTGGGGGTGAGGGCAAGCAGCTTCTCACAGGCTGGAACTCTGCCAGCCTGCAAAGAAAAAACCATAACTCCCCATGTTTATCTCCTTTAAACAAGGATCAATTTTTAAAGTTTGTTTGCAACCCTTTCACATATTTTTGTGACCCGCTTGTTGAGAAATGCTGATCTAGTCCAACCCCCTGCTTGAGGCGTGATCATCCCTATCCACAGAGCCGTTCCTAGGGGTGTACAGGGCCTGGGGCATATCAGCCCATGCTGGCCAGGGTGGGCAGCAGCAAGAGCACGGAGCTGGTGGCACACAGCAGCCGCAACAGAGCTGGCGGTGCATGGTGGCTACAGCTGAGCTGGCAGTGGCCACAGCAGAGCCTGTACGGCACTGTCCACAGGGACCCCCAAAGTGCAGGGGGTATGTTGGTCATCCCAATTTGCCCCACCCTAGGGACAGCCCTGCCTATCCAAGCCATCCTGTAGAAATCTTAACTTTTTTAGCAAAAAAACCACAATCAATCCTGACACACCCCAAAGATACAACACCCTCACCTACTACAGGGAAAGCAAGGGGATGGCAAGCAACATCTTTGTGTTGTAAAGATTTTTAATACACTCCAGAGATCCCAAGAAGATAGCCATACACCCCACTACAGGAGAAGGAAGATTTGCCCCCTACCAATCTTATCACAGGGTAAAATTCCTTCCTGACCCCAAATACAGCAAGTGGTCTGAACCAGAGGGTAAGGGGGCAGACCCTCCAGCCGGGAACATCCAGGTCTCAGTTTTAACAGGATTGTTAGCACCCACTAGACACAGCTGCAGCAATTTAGATTAGCTTTTTATACCAGCAGTGTTTCTAGGCAGCATCTTGAGGCAAGCCTGGATGAGGCTGTGTACCTGCCCATCTCCACACCTCAATAGCAGTTAGGCACCCCAGGCAGGGACTGATCCTCACCCTCGCTACACCAACAGCACAGAAGTGCAATACCCCACTGCAATCTACTCCCTGAACTAGAGACCAAGCCAAACAGCTAAGGAGGGAACAGACGCAGCAGAGCCACTGCTCCCCTTCCAAACCTGCTATGGGCAAAAAGTTACTTAGAGGCCCCAACCCAGCTAGGACCTTCACTCCTCCCTCTCACCGAGCAGCCCCGGGCTTATATCAGCGGGAGAAAAGACCCGCAGCCTGCACGCGAGAGCCCGCGTGACGATGACAGGCAGCCCCCAGCTGGGGGGGGG